GGATTGCTGAATTATATGAAAGTTCTATTTCTAATTTTTTGAGCATCCTCTATACTGTTTTTTAATACTTTTATTGATTTCAGGGAGGAAGGGAGAGAGATATAGAAACATCAATGATGGGAGAGAATCATTGATCAGCTGCTTCCTGCACACCACACTGGGGATCGAGTCCACAACCCAGGCACGTGACTTGACAGGGAATCGAACCGTGACCTCCTGATTCATATGTCACTGAGCCACACTGGCTGGGCCTCCATACTGTTTTTTATAGTGGCTACACCAGTTTATATTTCCAACAATAGTGCACAATAGTTCTCCTTTTTTTAAAACAAAACAAAACATATTTTAATTGATTTTAGAGAGAGGAAGGGGGAAACAGAGAAACATCAATGTGAAAGAAACATTGATTCGTTGCCTCCCACACACGACCTGCCTGGAGATCAAACCTGCAACTTGGGCAAATGCTGTGACCAGCAACTGAACCTGCCACCCTTTGGTGAACGGGACAGTGTTCCAACCAACCGAGCCATGCCAGCCAGCGCTACAGTTCTCTTTCCCCACATTCTCACAAAATCTTGCTGGTTTTTTAATAACAACTCTCCTCTGTGGAAGACATACAGATGTCCAACAGGTACACGAAAATGTGCTCAGCATCACTAGTCATCCGGGAAATGAAAATCAAAACCACAATGAGATGTCACCACCTCAGCTGTGGGCCAAGGCTGCAAACTTTCTAGGAAGCCCCCAGCCAATATCTGGGCATGTGTCAGGGATCCTAGCACCTGGCCATTTTGGCAGGCTGTGTCTACTCAACAATCTTCTATTCCCAGTTCCCGTTGGGTGCACTGAGAGTTTGTCCCAAGCTCCCCTGCCCAATCCTGCCCCCTGCCTACATGTCTGTCCCAAGGGTCAGATCTGCACTGCCATCCTAGGGTGTTCCTTGCCCAAACCTGATTCCTTCTTCATCTTTCACGGGTATCCTCACCCTCTCCCCCCATAAACCTCTTGCTGTTCAAATTCCATTTTCATCTCTGCTTCCAAGTGACACGGTCCTTCAATTGTGCTCCTTTTCTTCCCCGCTGTGGCTGCTTGAAAATTTCAGTGTTTCCCATCCCTTCTTGGGGACATTTTTAGATTTTCTGGCTGTAGAATCCCACATATTTTTACACATAACATACTGTAATCTATTTTGCTAAAGACTATATTATCAAGAACTCTAAAATAATCTGTTCCCATCTCCTAAAGTCTTCCCCCCCCCTTTTTTTGTTAATCCTCAGAATTTTAAATGTAACCTAACTCAAATAATTCCAGAGTCGCAGCCACCTTGCCCAGCCTCCTCCTTTTATAGATGCTGCGATTGAGCGGAGAGCCAGAGCAGTTAAGTGACTCATCGCCAATTGCTAGAACTATAAAATGAATTTCCTTTATAAGTTAATTGTCTCGAGAGAATTTCTCCACTCTCATGACATTTCTAATCAGGAAGTGTCAGCTCCTGGCACTAAGCTGCTCATTTACTCATCTTATTAAATTACTTTCTAATATATTTAACTAAGATTATTGTACTCCCTGCGGTTTGATAGATTTGCTCCCTGTATGTGATGAGTGGCTTCGCCTCGAGGGTATATATTCCATATATTCCAGGGAAAGCTCTTTGTCCATGGCTAGATTAGCAGGTAACAGGATGATCATGGAAAGCCCATTGATATATGCATTCTTTAATGAGACTAGGCCAGCAAGTTAATACAGAGTGCAGTATCCAAAGGCACAGGGGATGGATAATGAAAAATGAGTTGATGTAATCTATAGCATGTTTTCTGAAAGCGCCCTTAGTTTCTTTGTGCTATCCACAGGCCCCGCCCCCTTCTTCATCCAAATGGCCACTGCTCTGATTGTCCATTATGCGATCAACAGTTAACCCCAGGGGACAGCATCTAGGATTTCCTAGGATGGCTTTATCAGCCTCCTTCCCTGCAGACTGTGTGGTGCATCTTGGGAAGAGAAACTCCAATTAACTACCAAAAGGTAAGATAGAACTGGGGGTGCCTCATCAGACTTGGGTAGGAGGCAAGGAGGGTGGCAGTTTATAACAATTATACTTTACGGTCTTGAAAGGATTAAACACATACACACCCAGTTAATTTGCCCCCCAGGAGACATGCAAGCGATTATCTTCCCTTAAGTAATTCTGTCAAATGTATCCATGCTTTCATTAACTGCTGAAATAATTTTTTCTATCCATTGTAGGGTTATACTGTACTTTTTTTGTGTTAATAAGCATTTATCCTCTTACCTTATACTATTACAATCATTAACTGTGGTGTGTAAATGTACTAGTTATTACTGTCTAACTTTTGTTGAAAAAAAAGCACAATAAGAGAGTGAAGGTGGAAAAAACATCACACACAAAGCTTGCAGCCAGAGTTTCCTGCCAAGTAGCCAGGCACTGAATTTCTGACATTTAGTTCCTGTTCCCAACAGCTATGCCCTGTGGTTTTATTGAAAGAGAATACTGATCAGCCCAGGAAACATAATATTCTTGAGAAATACACATCTTGGAATTTTTGGGGGAAAAAAGAAATTGGAAGAAAATATTCATGAGTTCCTTTCCTTCCTTCTTCCCTCCCTCGCTCGCTCCCTCCCTTCCTTCCTTCCTTCCTTCCTTCCTTCCTTCCTTCCTTCCTTCCTTCCTAATGGGGAAACATTCACTGTGGACCAGGAAGGCATCAGATGTAAGATACAGGTAAGATATGGTAGCTTCTGGTCAGCAGTATCCATTTATAAAATTGGTTCACACACACACACACACACACACACACACACACACACAAAGGGTCCAGTGTCAAAACGAACCATAACCGTAAGGAAAAGTGAAATTAAATGCTGGTAAGTGATTTAAAAAAAAAAGGCATTTCGGGGCAGCAAATGCATGTATACATGGCTCAGCTACTGAAAAAGGGTCTCCTAGCTGTCAAAGCACTTCAGGGAGGTTGTGGATAAGCAGTATCTTGACTATGACTTCTTTTATACACAATATTTTAAATGAAACAAAATCTGGGGGAAATGTAGCAAGTGCTGCCTCTTCACTCTGCAGTATGTTAATGTGTCAGATTGGTTGTGCAGTTGAACAGCTTGAGGGAATGGCAGTATTTTAATAATATTTTTTATGTTAACCTGGCCTTTAGAAATACTCTGTTTACCTGTAAGATGTTATTAGCTTAAGTACCTGAAATGCAACTTCTATAGAGATCTATCCCCTGCTGTTTATTATTTGTATTAGCAGAGTGGCATTTGTCTATTTTTAAGGAAAGGAATTGGGTTAGATTTGGGGAAGGAAGTGTTGATTATGGAAGGATAAAAACAGGTGACTGCAGGGTTGTCATGGTTGAATATATAGGATCCAGTAGTTCTTTATCATGTCACTAAAGGTCCGGTGCATGAATTTGTGCTCGGCCTGGCTGGTGATTGGGGCTCATTGGGGCCATCTTTCCTAGTCCCGATCGGGGCTGATTGGGGCCAGCGGGCCGGGGGGAGGGACTGCGGGAGGTTGGCTATGGGAGTGCACTGATCAGCAGGGGGCAGCTCCTACGTTGAGTGTCTGCCCCCTGGTGGTCAGTGCAAATCATAGCAACCAGTCAAGCAATCCTTCGGTCCTTCGGTTGCTTAGGCTGTTATATATATAGATACTTTGTGACCATGAGAACAAAAAACAAATGATGAATCAGTTTCTTAATATTTGCAAACTAGAGGCAGCAATAATGGAGCATCTTGGAAATATATACATTATATGCAGACCTAGTTTTTTTTTCTTTCTTCTAAAAGCCATTTCACACACACTGTTAAAGAAGGGCCATTGACCCAGATCAAGACTCTGAAGTACAGAAAGGTGTCTGTGCTTAGCTCCAAGCTGCACTTATTTATGCTTCTTGTGCATGGTGTATTAAAGAAATCTACATGTTTTTGCGCAGTGTGGCTCAGTGGCTGAGGGTTGGCCTATGAACCATGTTTTGATTCCTGGTCAGGGCACATGCCCAGGATGCAGGCTTGATCCCCAGTGTGGGGCGTGCAGGAGGCAGCTGATCAATGATTCTCTCTCATCATTGATGTTTCTATCTCTCCCTCCCCCTTCCTCTCTGACATCAATAAAAAAAATATATTTTTTTAATCTACATGTTTTTGTGACATTTCTTGTCCTTTTTTCATTAACTAATCTGTCTATATATGAACAATCTAAATTACCTGATTTAAAAATGCCTTAATCCAATGTCATTGGGAAGCGACTCTCCAGCAGCTGCCCGGCCCCTCTCAGCAGCATCTCCTCAGAGACTGATGGAGGTCTTGTCCACCACACTGAATTATGCATAGCTGGACGGCGATTTCTTGGCAGGAAAAAAAAAATGTGACACGGTCAATTAACGTTAAATATGGACTAGGCTTTCTCTTAGGACATGAATTAAAGAAAGAGGCTTCTTTTTCCAGAGTGACGTATGGAGGCCTTCAGTCATGTTTGCACAAAGGGATTTAACTGTCACACCATAGAGCAAAACGCTGAATCCATGATGCCAGCTCAGCCCTCCACTGCTGGCTGGTTTCAGAAGGAAGTCCCAGCGCTTCTCGGAAATGACTCCGTGATCAGGAACTCTCCGTGGCTTTGCTACTGTTTCACTCACCTCGTATGGCCTTTGGCTGAGGGGGGCCTGCCCTTCACCCACAGGCTGTGGTTCGGGGCAGTTCTTAAGCAAATTACAATAATGATGTCAACCATGAGACTCAGACCAAATCTCCCGGAAAGAGGCCCCTTTCCAGCCTCCCCCAGGAAAGCCCAGTGAGCGACCCGCTGGAGTTCAAGAGTCTGGGAGAGAATATACGGGAGCAGCTAGGAGCCCCTCGGACGGGCAGTTAGCAAACCTCAGAACGTATCAACTCCAAACTTAATATCCCTTTGTTGGTTCACTTCCTTATTCGTTTCTTCTTCCCTCTTTTTAGTAACACATTGGAAGAGGATAAAAATATGGTCTCTACTTTTCAAAGCAAAGTAAGCCAAGCACGCAAAGGAGGTTGTTAGGACATGCCTGTTGCAAACTTGATTCCTCCTAACAGATCCAGTCTTTGCAAAAGCCTGGATCACAATCTCTTATTAGCGGTTCTCAACCTGTGGGTCGCGGCCCCTTTGGGGGTCAAACGACCCTTTCACAGGGGTCGCCTAAGACCATTGGAAAACACATATATAATTACATATTGTTTTTGTGATTAATCACTATGCTTTAATTATGTTCAATTTGTAACAATGAAAATACATCCTGCATATCAGATATTTACATTACGATTCATAACAGTAGCAAAATTACAGTTATGAAGTAGCAACGAAAATAATTTTATGGTTGGGGGTCACCACAACATGAGGAACTGTATTAAAGGGTTGCGGCATGAGGAAGGTTGAGGACCACTGTCTTAGATCCTTGTCGTGATGCCGCAGCTGATATTCAGTCCTGAGGCTTGGCTAAGGATGTGATAGGTCCGTTCTGTTGCAGGGATGGGCATGTAGCTGGGTGTTCACTTCTCCGCAAAGGAGGAGTTTTTCTGCACGGTTAGCACTGCCATCTCCGATGGTGTTCCAGTGCCCCCTGAGGGCTGCTCAGTGTAACCGAAGCAAACAAACATGTGGCTTCACGTGAAAGATTTCACCCTGCAGAGCAAGGCTGGGGGTGTGGCTCCCAGGGTCTCCGAAGTAAAGATTAGCTGCCAGTCATCAAGAAACCCAATGTCATTTGAAGTACGAGGTGCCACAAGCCAAAAGATAGAAGCCATAAACACATACAATATTAATAAAGCAATTACGGTAAGTGCTGTAACATTCTGCTTTGCAAATCTCTTGCCACTTCAAGAAACATCTGTCTCCGCCACTAGACATTACTGTTCAAAAAAACCCACCAAACTAACAAAACAAAACAAGCTGTGCTTTGTGTTTTCGCTTTTCGTTCAGTATCCTGATCAGTCAGTCCCCTGCCAAAGCTTCAATACCAATTTCAGAGTCTATTCCCTGGGTTGGTTTTTCCAACCGATGTAGCCAGTTGTGCATAGTGAGCAGAGGGGCAATGAGCATCATCCTGCAAACTGCCTGATCCAATCACACATGGTGTCTCCGGAGGGTGGGAAGGAGAGTCCAGTGACCAGATGAATCCTTATTTAACAGAAACTGACTTGAGCTTTACCTTCCCCAGATCCTGAAAGTTGTTGGTCCCTTATCTTTTTTCGTTTGTTTTGTTAATCCTCATCTGAAGATATTTTTCCGTTGGTTTTTAGAGAGAGTGAGTGGAAGAGAGGGGGAGATACAGAGAGAGAGAAACATCGATGTCAGAGAGATGATTGGTTGTCTCCTGCGTGTACCCCGACCAGGGCCAGAGATCCAGCTTGCAACTGAGATACGTGCCCTTGACTTAGAATCGAACCTGGGACCCTTTGGTCCAAGGGCCGAGGCTCTGTGCACTGAGCCAAACCAGGTAGGGCTGGTCCCTTATTTTTTTTTTTAAAGAAATTCCTTCCGTGACTTTGTTACTGGTCAATAAAATTCAAATCCAGCTGAGGGAGAGAGGAGCCCAGAGACCACTGGACATGGTTTCAGAAAACCCGAGACCTGGGTGCCATCCCAGTTTGATCGGGTATGGCACAAACTCTCTGAAAGTCTCACTGTCTTCCTTTTGGAATAAGGAGTTTCATTTTCCTCCAGCTGTCTCGAGGTCAAATGGAAAATGTTCGTGGAAATGCTGTGGGCGCTCTAGAGGCACATAACAATGTGAGGACCTTCCGCGAGGAGCATTGGATCCCAGAATAGCCCCTGGTTTCTTAGAGAACAATCGAGACAAAAAGAAGGAAATGACGACATAAAGATAATCGGGTGTTGAGTGCTGTATGATTGGGGGGGAAAAAAGAAGAAAAGAAGGCATGACTATAGGTTATTGTGGAACTCAAGCAGGTCGTCCATTAAAAAAGAAACAGCAAAACAATGATTCAGAAAACAGGATGCATGAAGGTTTGCTTCACTTGTGAAGGAAAGAAAATGATAAGGCCGTTATGATTTCTTAAATGGAAGATTCTAACAGAAGCCCACTCGCTTGCGGTTGTAAATCTGAGGGAGCAATTAGGTTACAACACCATTCTCTCAGATGTTTAAGTTAGAACCCTTAGGAGTCTACTTAGATTCCTTGTTCGTACATCACAAAACCCTGATTTAATTGGACACCAAATCTCTCTTCTTGCTATAATCTCTTAAAATGGGCTGCTTCTTTTTATTCTCCTTCCCACTGACTTTGTCCAGGCTAACTTCACTTTTTTTTTTTTTTTTGCCTGGACTACAGTGGCCCCTTGAATGACCTTCTGCCTGTGGTCTCTTTCTCCTTTCATCTGTTCTCTCCAAATTGGTAGCAGATGTCTTTGTGAAATTCACCTGGTGTGTCGTTTCCCACTTACATCCTCCAAATGGCCCCCTCCTCACCAACTGAAGGAAGGCCAAGCTCTTTATCTGGCCTGCAAAGCCCTGATGATCCAAGGCTCTTTGCCGAGCTCTTTGGCTCCACGTGTCCGTACATGGGCCATTCCTTCCACAGGACTTGCGGTTCCTGGAAAAGGAGGCTCTTTGGAGTCTGGCAGCGTGTTCTCTTCACTCCTGCCCACCAGGCCCATCACTTCGTATCTCCTTCTCCCTAGCTTCTTAGATAACCTGGAACAGGGCTGGGTGCTCACGTCTCTCGCTACAGACCAGGTTTAGAGCGCCATGCTCCCTGTATATGAGACACAGCATCGCAACATAGTGGAAGGAAAAGAGCTTTGGAATCAAACGAACCGGGATTTACGTACTAGCTTATAACCCTCTGTGGCATGTTATTTATATTCTCAGAGCCCCGTTTTTCCCATTTGTCAAATATGAATAGCAATGCCCACCTTCTCTGAGGATAGGCAATAATATACGTGAAATACCCCTTGCTGTACTTGACTCATTGTAGGGACTCAGTAAATGGTAGCCCCGGTATATGTTATTGCAATTGCTTTGTTAACTGAATTATCTTCCTCCTCTCCTTTAAGCTATCACCTCCTTGTAAAAAGGGGTTATATCTTTTTGTTTTTTCTTCTTGTTCATTTTTCTGGCCTGAGCACTTAGCAAAGTGCCTGACACATGCAAGTGTACAACAAAACTTTGCTCAAAGGATGACCAAACAAATAAAATAATGAAAACAAACATGAACAATGCAATCTCCAAATCTTGGGCACTGGAGAAGTTGTACTGTGGAGGGATTAGACATATGGCATTGATAGTGCCTACACATCTCAAGCATATTTGAAACATCATTAGATTTTTCTGGTTCTCGAACTCTCCTGAGCTGACAAATTAACCTGTGTGCTGACTGTGTCTCTCCCAAAAGGACAGCCACAAGCAGCATGAAAGGAAGGCTCCACGGATGGCATGGTCCGGGGTTGATTTATCTACTTCCTCTGGTTGTTTGAAGATTAAATCTGTGATGCCTACACAACATTGCATTTGACACTGAGGAGGGGCATGGCATGCGGAGCAGGAAGTGGAAAGAGATGGAGATCACCGGTCAGTCAGAAGCCAGCCAGGGGCGTGCCTTGAAGTTCCTGTGTGTAATTTGCATAGTAAGTCCTGTAGGGGATTTATTGAAGGGTTTAGACAGGGATGTGATAGAACCATATGTCTGCTTAGGAACATTTTCGGGTGTGTATAGGATGGTTCTGAAGGGAGCATATGTAAAGCAAAAAACATTATTTAGGAGGTTGTTGAATACCAGGCGAGGTGATGGAGGCCTGGCTAGGCAGCTGCAGGGGTGGTGAGCTGTGAAGGCACAGAGGGCCTCGGGCTTAGAAAGGCCTCGGGCCTGGTTTAATGCTCTGTGGTCACCTTTTGAAACATTTAATAATTTTTGAAAAATCGACCCCATGTTTTCATTTTGCCCCGGCTCTGCAGGTTCTTGAACGAGTCCTGGCAGAGGCTGCAGGAGAGAGAGTGTGAACGATGGGCTTTTGGACATGAGTGTTCTTCTGTGTCTTTGCTTTCTGTGTCGTTACTTCCTTGGTGTCCTCAGGTTAACCCCTGTCTGACCCCCGTGAGCTGTGGGTGTTGGGGTGAGAGGCATGTTCCAGCAACAGAAAAGGAAAGAGTTAATAGTTAGCCTTGTCCTTCCATAAGGAAGTCTCAAGGTCTCATCCATGCAATGGAAAGTCAGGATTTATTGAGAGTGGAAAAAATTATCTATGGTCTTTTTATCTCTCCCTGATTAAAACATAACATTTTATTTTATACCCCAGCTAGGGGTAAAATCGCATAAAGGATATGGGAAGCCCAGGGCCATCTCCTTCTAGCCTGAGGATTGTGACAGGAAGATATCAGAGAGGGGCTCAGGGGGGAAGTGGCCTCCTGGCAGTGAGGTTCCCACGCTGGGCAAACTTCACAGACCCCGTGACGACACAGAGGCAGCAATGACCGTGAGAGCCCGAGCTTCCGCCTCTGAGCAGCTGCCAGTGTTGCCAGATGACCGCTCCCCCACGCTCTCCCGTGCCCCACATCATGCAGGACTCCCACGCTTTGAGGCGGGGTTTGATCTTGGAGCAGAAGAGAGGACTTCCCAGTCCCAATTGCGGTTGGATTTCCTGATGGCATTTTGGGATGAGGGCTTGGAGTCAATTTTAAGTTAATTAACCAGTTAACTGCCACGTGTCCAAAATGGAAACCATCCCCACACACCACGATATTATGAATTTAATTTAAAAAATCATTTTTCAATGAATATTATAAAAAATATATTACAATTCAGGTGTTCTTGAATATTTTCAGTTGACAATTCTCATGAAAAATTATTTTTAAGTTGGTCTATAGATGTTTATGGTAGGCAAATGGGTAAGATAAACAAGTAAAGTATGCTATTTTTATTACCTAAATATGAGGTTGCAAATTCTTATCTGCTGCATATGCATAAACCACTGTTTGGCACTAAGAAAATAGAAATATGAAGACAGTCTTAATCTCAAGAACCTATGTGCCTATGAAAGTAGTTTTAAGTATATAAAATTGTAGCTTTAATATATATATATGTTTACATATATATGTATACACACACACACATATATATATATGTTTAACATACACCACAATACATGTCAACAGCTACGTATTGTTAAAAATGGTACATTTTGCATTCCCTAACTGCCGTAGCATGGAGTTTAGCATTATAATGATTCATTATACCTTTCTAACAATTTTTATTGTAACTTTCCCTTTTATCTTTTAATTAAGAATGACTTGTTTTTATAGGACCTTAAAGGGAAATATTAACTACCAGCATGAAAAATAGATTTATTCCCACCTCCCTGATTGGTATGCACATGTTAGGAAACGCTAGGCTTGTGCAGTCCTCCATACTTGCAAAATTCAAGAATGTCCTCTCTCAATGCAGAAAGTATGGACCCATCACTTTTTGGTATTCATTATTTTGTGCTTTCTCAGAGCTCTGTGTAGAAGATTCTGGCAGTGATACCTCTCCATCTTGATGTTCTCAGGTGCTCAAGTGTGTTGGGTGACGCCCACTGCATTTCTTACAGACACCTAATAGGACAGACATAGGATTGGCCTGGGAGCAGCTGCATTTCCCAAAGCTGACCTCCCACCTGTGAGCTTGCCTTAGGAACCGATAGCAAGTATAGCCTCCTTATTATTTGCAATTAGCCTGTAAGCACGGTATTAACACGCATTGTTTTGATTTTTGCGTTATTCCCCTGATGATTGAAATTGAACATACTCACTCTAGAAAATTAGGAAATGCCAAAATTCTTAGTGAAGCAGTCAAAATGTTTCTTATAAATTAACTTTTGATTTCTGTCCTGAATTATTGTATTTTGCTATAAACTCATAATTACTTCCAGTGGGAGTGTAGTCCATGCTGGGATTGTTCTAAGGGCTTCACATTCATTTCATTTTCATAACCCTATAAATTTTGTAATTTTCAGCATTTTTGATGAGGTAACTGAGGCTCGGAATGTTCATTAACTTTTCCAATGTCACACAGGAGCAGCTGATCTTTCTCTCTCATCGATGTTTCTAACTCTCTATCCCTCTCCCTTCCTCTCTGTAGAAAATCAATAAAACATATTTAAAATAAATATGTTGTGTTCTATTGATTTTGTTATCATAATCTTACATATTTAAATATATTGTAAGTTATAGATTTTCTGGTTGGGGGAAGAAACACTAGTTACTGTGTTACATTTTAACATAGATTTCCCCTTGCATCCTCATTTCAGGAAATAGTACACTAAGGGGGAGACACATCTCATGATGGAAGGAATGTAGAAGCCACAAATGATTCTGTTAGTGAGGGAAATGCCAGCATTCTGTGCTCCCTGAAAACCCCAGAAGATGGCACCTTCCACATGCCAGGTAAGTTGCAAACTATCAGGTGAGAGCTACAGGTGTCTTTGAATCACTGTGATGCTGTAAACAATAATTCCTGAATTTTACAGGTCTTATCACTTTGGATTTGAAAAGATTAAAAAAAACCCAGTTTGTTACACTCCAGGTATTTTCATTCAGTGAACACTTGGGAGAGATTGGGATACAGTGAATGTTAATATCTGGGCAGGTCTGGCTGTTCCTTGAATTGCTCTCTTCAGAATGTGCCAGCGCCCTGGGAGAAGACCCGGGGGAGAAAAGCAGGGCTAGGGCAACAACGAAGGCTTTGTTTTCGAGGTTTTACTTCCTGAGCATTGAAATAGTTCATGTGGAAAGAGGCACAGACGTGACTGAGAAGCACCCAAGAATGAGAGCATTTGAAAAGTGAAATATGCCTGGTGTTTTCTTCCCTGTGGTTGATTTTTCAGACATTCTGTGCACATATACTGCAAATGTATAATTAGAGTGGACAGTGGGATGAGAGTGATTAAAAATAAATTTGCCAGAACTGGTTTGGCTCAGTGGATAGAGCATCAGCCTGTGGACTCAAGGGTCCCAGGTTCGATTCCGGTCAAGGGCATGTACCTTGGTTGCGGGCACATCCCCAGTGGGGGGCGTGCAGGAGGCAGCTGATCGATGTTTCTCTCTCATCGATGTTTCTAACTCTCTATCGCTCTCCCTTCCTCTCTGTAGAAAATCAATAAAAACATATTTAAAATAAATAAATAAATAAATTTGTTTTTAATTTTCAATAATTTGAATATGCTGAATTAAAATAACTAGGTAGTATATTTTAATCAGATCTAGTCTAAGGGGAAGTATTTAGAAGCTAGCCATTAAATGGATATAGGAATTGATGTTTTTATAAAGGTAAAGCTTCTAAAAGATTTTTGAAGTTATGCTTTTATTTATCATAAGTATATACATTTTTTTGTAATATCAGAAAAAATTTTTCCCAGACTTGAATTATTGAAAAGTAGTTTTTTTGTGGATTTTTTTTTAAAGGAAGAGGAACTTAAAATGGATTGATGATTTCCAAGATTTCTCAAATAAATCTAATCTGGCTTAAGACTATTATAATATTTTCGAAGATAAGGCAATTTGAAGAAGAAAAAAATTTTTATCCTTACCCGAGGATAGTTTTCCATTGATTTTTAGAGAAAGTGGAAAAGAGAGGGAGACACAGAGAGAGAGAGAAGTAGCGATGTGAGAGACACATTGATTGGTTGCTTCCTGCATGCACCCCGACCAGGGCCAGAGATCAAGCCTGCAACTGAGGGACATGCCCTTGACCTGAATCCAACCCGGGACCCTTCAGTCCTAGGGCCTACGCTCTATCCACTGAGCCAAACCGGCTTGGGTGAAGAAAATTTAAATTTAAAAGGTTAACAAGAAATGGATTTTACAAATTAACTATTAAAAAGCCTAGCCACTATATATTCAATTCCATTCCAGTAAAAATTCAAACAGGTTTCTTTGTGTGTGGAAATTGAAAAACTAATTCTGAAATTATATGGAAAAGAAAAGTACCTAGAATAGCCAAAATTATCCTGAAAATGAGCAAAGTTAGAAAACTCACACAACCTGTTTCAAGACTTACTAGAAAACTACAGTAACTACAACAATGTGGCCAGGACAGGCAGCTATCACTGGAACAGAGCATGTACCATCCATTAATTTTCAGCACCACATCCTAGTATATACTAGTAGTCAGTGAATTTTCAGGCATAGCTGTACTGTGGAGTGAAAAGGGTCTTCTCCACAGAGAGCCAGTATGACCTGATGCCCGTGGGAGAAACAACGAACGTAGACTCCTACACTATACACAGAAGCTCATTCAAGACGGACCGAAGACCGAAACATAAAGCTACAACCACAAAGCTTCTGGAAGAAAATGTAACATCCTTACAACCTTGGATTCATGTAGATTTCTTGGGGAGGGGGAGGCGTAAGGAGGGGGTACAAAATAGCAGGAAACATAATATAAAAGGTAAAATTGTACATTATGAGAATTAAACTTCCGTTCACCAAAAGACATGAAAAAGAAAGAACATGAAAAGTAAAGCACACCCTGGGAGAAAATATTTGACAATACACGTGTCTGACAAATGCTTCACATCCAGATTATAGCAGTAACTCCCATAACTCCCACAGATCAATAAAAAAATAAAAAGGATGACCCTGTTTTAAATGGGAAAATATTAGACAATGTTATAATGGAAGATTCCTAAATGAATTACGTGAAAAGATGCTCATGGAATTGCACATGAAAACCAAAGTGAGATTCCATTTACACACAGGAGAATGGCCAAAACTTTAAAAAGTGACCAACCCAGGGATGCAAAGCTCCTACTCCCATAAACATGGGTGGGAGGTGTAAAATGTTCAACCGCCACCTTCATGTCCACCTGCAACCTCAGGGTGTGACCTTATTTGGAATTGGCATCTTTGCAGGTGTATTCAAATTAAAATGAGGTCATAGTGGATTAGGATGGACCCTAAATCCAATGACCTACATCCTCCTAAGAAGAGGGAAATTGATATACAGAGACACTGGAGACATACGGGAAGAAGCCACGTGGGGATGGAGGCAGAGATTGGGCCACGAGCTGAGGATTGCCAGCAGCCAGCAGCAACTAAGAGAGGCAAGCAAGGTCTGAGTCTTCCCGGGAGCCTTCGGAGGGAGCTTGGCCAGGACAACATCTTGATATCATACTCCTTGACCTCAGCAGTTCTCGACGCCTGAGCCCCGAGAGAATACATTTGTGCTGTTTGGATCCACCCAGCTGTAGTACTCCGTTTTGGCAGTCCCAGGAAATTAATGCTACTTTAGAAAACTTCGGCAATTTCTTATAACCTCGAACATATACACCTGCTTTAGGACCCAGCAAATCTGCTCCTAGGTACCAACCAAAATAAATGAAAACAAATGTCCATACAAATACTTGTTCATAGCAGCTTTCGTTACAACAGCCAAAATTGGTAACAAATCAAATGTCCAAGAAGGAAATGGAAAAAAAATGTGTTATGTTTATATGGTCAATGCTAGCAATAGAAAAAGAATAAACTGCTGCCTGGCTCTGGTGGCTCCGTGGGTGATCGTTGACGTATGACCCAGGAGGTCATGGTTTGATACGCGGTCAGGGCATGTGCCCAGGTTGTGGACTCGATCACCAGTAGGGGGCTTGCAGGAGGCAGCCGATCAATGATTCTCTCTCATCATGGATGTTTCGATCTCTCTCACCCTCTCCCTTCTTCTCTGAAATCAATATTTTTTTTTGAAAAAAGAAAAGAAAGCACAGCAAAACAAGCCAGATACAAAAAGAGTAACGGTCAGGCAGAATTATGCTTAGGTAATAAAAGTCAGACCAGTGAGGGGCAGGATTGATGTGAGAGGGCCTGAAAGAACCATAGCAGGTGTTGCAGAAGTTTTGTATGTCTTGATTGTAGTGGTGTTTATATTAGTGTGTATATATTTGCCAAAACTCATTGGACCATTTACTTAAGTGGATGCATTTATCAAATGTAAATTAGACCTCAATAAAAAGTATTAATAAAAACAAATCTTGGAGCATTTCACTATATATAATGTTTGCCTCAATTAAAAAAGAAAAGAAAAGCCTAGTTTAATTTAATGAAAATCTTTATCCCTTTTCTGTTTTTGAAAATTACATTAGCTCTCTGCTTTCTGAACTCACTTTTAAATTTTAGCAAGTAGGTGATTTTCACGTAATTTATTTTTGTTCTCTCAGTTTTCCAATCTACCTTACATGTAAGCATCCACATGCCTTATACTCTATTGTAGAAGTATACTTTTTATATGTTGGCAAAGTTTAGGCCTCCATTCCTTAGCTGGGAGAGTTTTAATAACTCATCAGGACATAGTTTGCTCTGTTGCCTATTTTGTTTAGGGAGGAATAGGTCACTTGCAGGAGCCAATTAAGTGTAAAATAAAAAGACCGGTGCCTCAGACTAAGAACCCACAGCTTTAAACAGCATTCAAAATGTTCTTAGCTACTTTTATCAGATGGGAGGAATATACAGAATTTGGCCTGTTGGAAAACAAAGATAATACCAGCTTTTTCAGGTGGTCAGTACCCAGTTCCGATGAGACAGCTTCTTGGCAAGTATTCTATGGATGAAGGAGGGCCTGAAGGGAAACACAGCCAGAGCGGGAGCAGGGGAAGGAGAGGGGAAGGCACCTGGATGGACCGGAGGAATCCACGCTGCCCCATTGCTTATGTTTTGTGGTGCAGCACCAGCGCCATCATGTGGTCGTCGCTGGAACTTTAGAGGAGGGAACCAGTTCTTTCCCCACTACAACTGAAAAATGGAATAATAAACCAAAGTTGTTCAAAGAGCCTGAAAGACCTCCAGAAGGATATCTCCCTGTAATGATTTTTCATCTAAAAGCAGGAGGGATTCCTGACATCTTCATGCGTAAAGCATCTGGAATCATGTTTGCTCTCCAGGTGCCTATTATTTGTTCCTTTATTCATCAAATATTCACAGAACTCTGTGCCAGAGATTGTGCTAAACAGGAGAAAAGTGGGCATTGTGTTCTAGTGGCGAAGAAAAACCTGCAAGGGGGGAAAAAAGTATTAGAGCAGTGTTCAAGTTCTCTGGTGCAGGAATAACTGGGACAGACCACGACAGGAGCCAAATGGGAGAGTTTAATGTGCTTCAAAGATGCCATCATGTCCCCCCTCCTCCCGTGGGGCTGAACTTGCACCGTTGCCTTGAAAGCTTATGTTGGTCCTATTATTTGGATCACTTGCCTACACCCTTTTTAAAATCTGGCGATAATTATGATTGAATTGGTTGACTCAATAATTACGTATTGAGAGTCTACTGTGCGTCAGACACCATTATGTGCTACGGGAGACAGAGGCAGAGGGGAAAGTCAGACGATGTTTCTTTTTTCATTAAGCTTAGGTGTGGGGAATGAACCATCAAGAAAAAAAAATGAGTATGATACTCATA